GCATTAGAGAGAGAGAGAGAGAGAGAGAGGAGATAAAGTGATAGGTGGCTCAGATAACCCAATTTTCCAAACCTGTGCATGGAAACGCAGCACCGTTTATATAGTTTCTACGCGCTCCTCTCTATCTGTCTCCTTCTGTCGCGTAATGTGTTCCCCTCTCATATCCTTCCACGTGCAAGCATAAATACCGCCAAACACTAGATGGGGAAACCGCTAAACGGTATTGACGTGTACGGACGACAGAATCTCCTTCTAGCAGTCCAGTCACACCACGTAGCGCTCTTCGCCGAGCTATACCTAGCACGGCATTGCCACCTTCCCTTAAGCCGCGCTATCTGCCCAGTCCTGACAGATACACCCATACATCGGCTCAACCAAGTTGGGCAATGCGCGCCGGGACCCTAGCTCGACTGAGCATGGTTTACCAAGGACAAATTTCGTCCAACTATGGATGAGATTTAGATCTCCTAACTGAGCTAACACCTCAAACTTCTGTCCTCAACCTGGCCGGTTTAAAGCCTTGATCCAAGATCATGGCCGAAGCCCAAACAAGCTCGGCCCATTTCTGATCATAATTCTCTCTCTCAAATCCCATGTTGTAAAAGTATTTCATATTGTGCAATTATTGAATGTGAAATAATCTATTTTTTCCTCTCATTTTATGATGTATGCCTGAATCTAGAATTCCTTCCATTCATTGTAGCTTTCGATGTGTTTATGCCAGAATACACTTGAAAGCTCAATCTAGAGGAAGTTCAGAAAATTATTAAAAAGAAAGATCTTGCTCTAGCTAACTAGGTTTAGTCTTGATCCAAAAAAAAAAAAACACTGACTAGGTTTGGTCTAATTATTCATAATCCTTGTATCTTATTAGGAAGTTACGTGTTCAATTCTCCTTTAGTTAAGGATTCTCCTTTAATTTGGGAATCAAATTGAGCAGATTATAAAACTCCTTGCTGGATTTTGACAAGTCATTAGCCAGAGCTTTCAAGCTCTTACCCTTAGCTATTTCCTTCTTGATGCAAGGACAATTCAGATCAGCACTACATTTCCATAATAACATTAATAACAATAATAAATAAATAAAAATAAGGAACCAGATTCTCTTCGCGCTATTTGGGCCCGTGGGGCCCCCAGAGTCTCACCTTGATAATCTAAACCATTTATTTTTAGACCACAATATTTAAATCATCCATGAAAATAATTAGGTAAATTAGATAACTGTAACCACGTTAGTTTATGACATTTATTTCCAAAAAAATAAATGATCAATATTATTTATAAACTAACTTGGACACGATCATCGGCTCGACCTAATTTTTTCTATGGAGGATCTACAAGTTGTGGTCTAAAAAATGAACAGTTCAAATAATCAAGGTGAGACCTACAGTGGGTGGGCCATACAGACCCAAACAGCATGTGTGGATTGGACAAAATCTGGTTGCTAAAAGTAAAAGCCAAAGCGATTGAACTCCACTACTTTGTATGGAGATCAATCACAAATTATGTTTTGTTCACAAATCTTCATTGAACATAATCATTTTCCAGGCCAGGTGATTAGCCAAACTTTATTTGTCTACCCTTATTACACAGCTAGAAAAATGACACCTAAAATGAAGTTGAGTATAATTAATAAAAGCTTTATTCCATACTCCTATTCTTTTGAACTATGTTTGGATCATATATTTAAGTAGAAATTTAGAAGAAAAAAGAGAAAATATAGATAAAATATAAATAAAATACACACTTTTCTTTTTCTTTTCTTTTTTTTAATTTATAATCCAAACACAACTGTAACACTTCTTACTGTAATCAATCCAAAGGAGGCTGTCACTGGATGTTAGACTACTCACTACAGGAAATTTGATTTTTAGCGGTGTTTTTAAAACGCTGCAAAAAGCCTGAAAAACGCCATAATATCTTATGGCGGCGTTTAATATTTTCGTCACTGATACGGCTGCCGCAATAGCTTTCCGACGTTTTAAAAACGTCGCTAAAAATATTAGACACCGTTTTTTAAAACGTCGTAAAATCTTTGACGCCCATTTCCCCTTCCGTCCCAAATTAACGTGTAACAATTAACGTGTGATGTCACAATGACGTCATTTAGTGGCGTTTCTCAAAAAACACCGCTTTTTTTTTTTTAATTTATTTGTTTATCCTGCTTCTGCTGCAAGAAGCTAACGTGTGACATCAGAATGACGTCATTAAGTGGCATTTTTTAAAAAACGCCGCTTTTTTTCTTTCTTTTTTTCTTTCCAAAACGTCACAATGATGTCATTTCTTTTTTTCTGGTCATCTGCTGTGACCAACCAGTTCAGAAAGTTGGGCTACAATCCAACCAGTGAAATTTGTGCTTCAGTAATGTATTAAGCTAGTGATCATGTGCCTGTTGGCACTTAATTAAATTATCAATATAAACATCTAATAGGCAAACATCAAAAAAACAAGTCAAATCCACTGTCCAATCCAGTAGGCAATCAAATTTCGAACATCAAAAAACTAAAAACACACCAAATACTGTGAAATCAAATTTGATTAATAATTTAATTAAAGATGTTCCCAGAATCTTGTGGAATCAATACAAACATCAAATTTGGTCATATGTACAAAAAGAAGAAAAAAACAAGTAGGCAAGTCAATATCCAAACATCTAGTAGTTATTCCTAAGTCATCGGGTATAGGCAGTAATTGACAGAAAAAGTTCAGTCCCAAGTTTTAGTTCTCATCACAAACCTTTTAATTCCATCAGTCAAAGCAGGAAGAGTAGAAAATAAACAAGCATGTCCCGCATTTCCTTGTATGCTAATTCCATTTCCAAATGTTTCCTTCCATCTGCCATATCCACTGTCCAATCCAGCCCAATCACATCAACCCCAGTTCCTTCCATTCGCTCAAGAAAGCCACCATTCCCATTAATGTAGAGAACAAGTGGAGTTCCAAGACAATGTCTTTACTAGACTCACAATCTGCAATTCCAACAATCCTGTAAGGTGATTGAGAAAGAAAGAGAATAAAATGATAAAAACAAGTACAGGGCAGCATATTATTGAAACAAAAAATAATAAGTTTGTGTGCGTAGATTACAGAATCTAGGCAACAATTTTAAATCACTGAGAAAAAACAAAATCCATTTAATGTCCATGGACTTGCAACCTATGGAACACTGATGATAGTTTACAAATCAAACATAAGTTGATAATATATATATTCTTACTTGATGCAAGATCAAGAAGAAGAAAACAAAAGAAGTGAAATGTGTACCCAATTGACAGGACTCACCCAAAATGAGTGATCAAGTAAGAATATATATATTATCAACTAAGAATATATATAGCATTTCTTCTTGATCTTGCATCAAGTAAGAATATATATATTATCAACTTATGTCCTTATTTTATGCCTGTACCTATGGAACACTGTATTTGATACGTACTACCTTGAAGAATTTACTTGTACTTATGTTGAACTTTAAGATGCTTTTGTACCACTCATGTGCGACAAATGATTATTCTCTTTGGTTTACTGTAATGCATATATTATTCCTCAATGACTTCTTCTTCTTCTTTTTGTGTTAAAAAAAGAAAAAAGAAAAAAAAAGTAAAACTGCCTGGGTGGTCATTTGCACTTAGGGTGTTTAGGCACAGTGGCAATTTATAATTGTTTCACATTACGCTAAAAAGTAAGTTCATCTGCTGATATTTAATGTTTTAAAAACTGATATCTAAGCTGCTGCATGTATTACTTATATTGCAGCTTGATTTGGAATCACAGTCGGCAGCAGAAAGAGTTACAGCGGTTGCATTTGTCAAAGCAATTCCTGATCAAACGCAGCAAAATGTAGCATCTCGCAACCCTATTCCTTCAGTTTTGCAACCAAATGTCAAAACTGATAATCATGATTCTACACAACTACCCTGTCCAAACGATTCTTCCAAGCTGCAACAGGAGATCATAAATCCGGAGAATAAATTTATGCTACCTGATCTAAATGAACCTATTGAGGATTCCAACTCTGAGGTCTTGGATAGAGTTAGCTGAGACGGATCAAGCATATACTGGTAATCTGTTTTTCCAGATGAACTGAGACAAATATATGGAGGAGGGCATTTATACTTATTTAATAAGTGCTTGCTAACCTTGTTGTAGGATGGACTTGCTATTTTGTTTATTTGTTTCACTTACCATTAATTGTAATGGTGTCTCACCATTCACAACCATTAAATTGCTGGTAAATGCATATTTGATAGAGGCTCGACAATTTACATATTTTTATGTGAAAATTTTCATTTCCTCTCTAGCTATTGATGAAAACATCAAGGGTTGTTGATTCCTAACTGCATGTGTTCCTTTTTGAGTGCTTCAGGAAATGGCATCTAATATATTGCTTTTGTTTTTAGGTTGGATGACTTGGACTCTAGATTATCTTCTCCTTCTGCTTCAGTCGGAATGAACAAATGTGGATTTGGCATCGAAGATTTAACACGCAAAAGGCATCGAGACTGAGAAAAGGATTTGAGGGACTTAAGTCCATTGGTTGATCACTTAAATTTGGGGTTTCTTGGGCAATGTTTCCAAAAGATCTTAAAGTGTCAGAGAAGAAGATATTTGATCCTCAAGATCAATTTCAATTTTCCTAAAGGAACCAAGTTAAGTAGAGTTCAGTATGCTTAGTTTCCTAAAGGAACCTCAAATTCAATTTTCAAACATTTTAATCAATTATCCAATTTGACTTTCTAAGTATTGCAGTAGCTTCCTAAGCTTCAAGCTAAATTATTACTTCAATGTACTTCTAACAGCCACTTCTAAAGCATCCAAATATACATATATAGCAGCAATATATATATATATATATATATCAATTGATCAGAAACAGCAGAAACCACTCATGATCTGGTTATGACATTGATATTCCCTAAAAAATGTACAATGAAAGGATAATTTTGAAAAGTAGAAGCAGTGGAGTGGAGTGACATACTTTGGCCTGTGCTAGAGCCATGGTGATCACACTATACAGAGCATGGAAAATGGCAAGCACAAATATGAAAATGTGCAATTGGTGCACCCCTGACTGAGATATCAACGACACTTTCCCCTGTTCATTCACAAACAAGTAATGATCACAAAACAATCTTATTTGGCGAACTGTTTCCAAAATTGTTTTCAGGAAAAATTTCTTAAATGACCCATCTATAGGAAACATATGCACCCCAAAAAAAAAAAATGATGACTTTTGGCATACATATTGAGAGCAGTAGCCTTGACCAGCATTAGCACCACTAGTCGGAGCTAGAACTCGCCGCCGAATGGTAGTATCTCCGGCAAACAACTTTATTGAAGCGTGAGAAAGCTTGTTGTTGGAGTTCTGCTGCTTACAAGGGAGCATGATATTTCCAGCTTTGGAAGGAATACATATTTTAGACACAAGGCTTGTTCCTACTGTGATCAGTAGGGAGATGAATCCTAGAAGTATCAACTCTGCACATTTTTTTAATTTTTTAAAATAATTTGATAATAAAATACCATTTTTTATTTCATTATTAATTCAAAAAGAATATGCAGTGTGCATAGAAAAACAATTATAGAAATGTAGGATGAAAAATTAATGTTGGCCCAAACTCAGTCGAGGTGTTACTGTTTTTTTTTAATTTTAAATACTATTATTGATTATGTAATAGTTGAAAGAGATAAAGAGATGACATATCCATATGATGATTTTTCAAAAAATAAAAAATAAATATGAACGAAGTAACTATATGATCACATGCCACTGGATGAACGTACTAAAATTCTAAACTCACCTAATAATTTTTGAATTGCATCCCTTTAATAAAATTCTAGATTCACCTCTAATTTTTTAATTGCATCACTTACTTTAATAAATGAGAAAGATAGTTAACAAGTTGTATATAATCAACAAATAGCTCCTCTAAACTTACTACTTGTAATTATCCGTGATATGAGGAATCCTTTTTGGCGTTCTGCTATAAACTTTATAAACTTCATCATATTATATGATATATATTTCAATATAATTGTGAAGGGGAGAGAGAGAGAAAGAGAGAGAGACCGGCTTTAATCTTCTCCAAAGCCTCAATCATGGCCTTCTTCTGGAGCTTCCGAAACCACTGTACCATTCAAGAAAGCAAAGTTAATAATTCAGAATTGAATTCTTTCTAAAATTCCATCAAACCATACATAAAAAGCTTGGAAAATCATTCAAATTTTACATAAAAATCTTAGTCAATTTTACCTTTTCAAGAGAATGAATCCCATGTTCAATAAGAACAGAAATGATCACAAAAACTGCAGAAACAAGTGCAACAGCCCATGTTGGTGTCTCTCTCAGCGACCGAACTCCATTAGCCCCCGCTACCATGGCAGAACTTTGCTGCCAAAAACACAAAAAAATGCTTCGAGAAACAAGTGCATGAACATTGTTTTTGGGGAGATTTATAACATATTGTATGTGTGTATCCACAATCAGGGCATTATAATTTTCATTTTATAGCAATCTTCGGAAGCAATTTCAGGTCACAAAATTTCATACCTGAAGATTTAAGTTGAGGATGTCGAGTACAGGGTTCACAATTCAGGTCCGGATCAGATCCTAACTCCTCATGCCATCATCTTAGTCTAAACAATACCAGAGACATCTCAATTCCCTTAATGAGGCACAAATATGCTACATCAAGACAATGAAAATGGGAATTAGAGTCAATATTTGAAGGAGAACTCGAGCATAAAGGTTAATCACTAATCTGAGGCACAATGAATGGCCATAGACTAAACAGTGGACCCATACAAAGCAAGAGAAACAACACGTTTAACAAAATTATCAAGTTTAAATGTATGGAGCCATCTTCATAAAATCATTGACCAGAGATATGTGTTATAAAATGAATCAAAGCAATCGACCGCAACTCATGTTTATCCATCAGAGATATGTGTTATAGAGATGCAAGATATGAGTATGAATGTATAAACTTTTCAACCAAAAAAGAAACAAAAAAACAAAACAAAACAAAAAGAAAAAGAAATGGCTAAACGAATTGAAACTCACAAAATGGAGAACAAAACTTCAAAATCTGCAATCCAAGTGGTGGCCTTCAAATCATCGCCAGATTTGAAATCGAGCGAGAGAGAGAGAGAGAGATTTTTCGAAATCGAGACAGAGAGCGTGTTTGAAATTAAGCGAGAGAGTAGACGGAGAACAAATCTGAAGGAGTAGACTGAGAACTTTAATCGCTCAGATTCAAATCTCCAAATCTTCAAATCTTCGACAATCAACAGCAAATTGCAAATTCGGAGCGAGAAATAGAGAGAAGTCGCAAATTGCAAATCAATTTTGCTCAGAATGAATTTGAGTACTACAGCACTATCGCAAATCGCAAATAAATTATGCTCAGAATGAATTCGAGCTCGATAGATAGAGAGAGAGAGAGAGAGATGGGGGGTGGAGAAATCGCATCTTTAGGGCTTTAGGATGTGGGTAACGGCGTTTGCCAATTAACACGCGAAGATGATGTTTAAAAGAAGAAAAATTTAGCCATAAGTACTAATTTTTGAAACGTTGAATCATATAGTTCTAAAAAAATTTTTATACTTCATTTAGTCTCATTTTTACATCAGCATGATATAAATGATGTAAATGATATGATGTTTCATTCTATAATTTCAAAATTTATTGAAATCTGATGAACATTAGATGTTTTTCATCCTATATTTTCAAACATTATTGAAATTTGATGAACATTAGATGTTTGAAATCTAATGTTTGTAACATGACTCTGATGTTACTAACATTGTATCTGATGTTATTAATATTGTAATGGGACCTTTCAGTCTATAAGAAAACTTTTAAGACTAAATAGTACATAAGATATTAATTTGAGATTTATTGGTGCATCCCCTTAAAAGAAATCTAATACAGTGTTTTAATTGAAAAATGGCGGCGTTTTTATAAACGTCGCAAATAAAACGTTGCTATAGCCCCTTTTTCCTGTAGTGACTGGAAAAGTTATGGCCTCAACAACAATCGAGCAATTATTCATTGCCTTTGGGGCATTGAATAATTTTTCACAACAATCTATCTGAGAGGAGGATTGTACCCAAAAAAAATTAAAAACAATTCAGGAGGATTGCTTTTTCATCCAAGATGGACAGTATTGTCAAATTGCTGTATTGGGGTACTTCACAAGGAGTAAATAAAATGAAAATTTTCAATTCAATGAAAGCTTTTAAGAAAAATTACAGATAAGTGGTAATTTTATACACCTTAATAATTATAGTTGTAAATTTTTTTTTTATGATTTTGTAATAATCTTCTGATAGTACCAATGATAGATTTCTCCTAAATAAAAATCAAGAAATAAGAAAGTTCGCTCATAATATATTACAGTACTGTAACTGACTAACATAAGATAAAAGCAAAGAGGGAATTGGGGGAGGTTATGCTCTAAACTCTTTCTCAACATATGGTTTGTGAAAATAATTAAAATTTTAATTGACAATTTATGCATCGTGTGGCAAGAATAGTGTTTGAGACAGGAACAGGGGGAAAATGGGGAGAGGAGCCAGTTTCATCAAAGTATTGCATATTGTGTAATTATTGAATGTGAATTAATCTAATTTTTTCTCTCCATATTTTAAGGGGTAAATTATAAATACATTCCATAAAATTTACTTCAAATATTAATTGTTTTCTATAGTTATAAAAATTACAAATACTCTATCGTCAGAATTTTTGATTTAACATAATTAACAAAAAAAATAAAATTCCTAATTACTCTACAATACAATAATAAAATGATGAGAATTTTTAATTGAAATATATTTTAAACATCATTAAAAATTGTTAATTGATTTATAATTTATTAATAAAATGGGTCAACTGTTATCCAATTAAAAATTTAAAAGGGCAAGATATAATTTTTAGAATCACATTGAATAATTTGTATGTAATTTATAATTTACCCTATTTTAAGATGTGCCTGAACCCAGAATGTCTTCCATTTATTGCACCTTTTGATATGTTTATATCAGCATACTCTTCACAACTCAATCCTCAGGAAATTCATGAAATGATGATAAGAGAAATATCTTGCTCTCAATTTGGTAAGCAAATTGAGCAGCTGCTAGGCAAAATAATCCTTTCTGGATATTGACATGTCATTAGCCAGAGCTTTCAAGCTCTCAACCCAATTTCCTTCTTGATTCATAGACAATTCAGATCACCCCCTCCATAATTACATCCAAAAAAAAAAAAAAAACCAAACACACAATTAAACTGTGAAATAAGAGAAAATGAATGCATTCTCAACAACCAGAGAAAACTACAAACAAGAAGAGAAAAGCAAGAAACAACAATTGATACAAGTCAGAGAACACTTGAGGCTGTTCAGTTTATTAGTAGCTCCAATTCTTGGGGACTCTCTTCTTGCTCGTTCTCAACAACCTTTTGTTTCCTTATAAGCAATTTGTCACGACCCAAACCTGCTCCTGAAAGTTCAGACATGACCGGCCTGACTTTAGGCCTCAATTTTTAAAATGTCTTAAAGTTTACTTGATATTGGGGCCTGAACGGAAGCAAAATAATAGAAGAATAAAACATTCATTGAGCTGTGTCTACATGCCGGGATCTTTTTGCAATACCAAACATACATAACATTCCATGCACCACTCACATTACTAAGTGTAAAGGGAAACAACTCAAAAGTTAAGTGTTGTCAAAATCTATATACATATCTGTTTTCTTCAAATTATAACAAAACATGCCATCAGAGGGATTTTCTAGAATAAAGCAAAAGAGTCACTTCAGATGACTCAACAAAATGGGTCCAGCAAAAGGCTTCAGGGTTGTCCTAAGGTTGACTCGCGGCCTGATTACCTACAAAACATACATAAAAGTAAAGTGCGCAAGGCTCAGTGAATGATAGTAGTACAGACAAATTAAAAGTACGAGCATAAGTTCACAGTGCATATTCATAAGTCGTGATCTTATTCGTTTCTCCTTTTCTGAACGGCCTCGGGCCCACATAAAACAGAACGGCTATAGGCCCAACATTATACAGAACGACCTTAGGCCCATCGTAGTACAAAACGGCCTTAGGCCCATTATAATAGCAAAACAGCCTTACGCCCAACATAATATAGAACGACCTTAGGCCCATCGTAGTACGGAACAGCCTTAGGCCCATTATAATAGCAAAACGGCCTTGGGACCAATATAATACAGAACGACCTTGGGTCCATATTTCACATGTCAGAGTTCAAACGCATTTCATACAACATAAGATATTCATTAGAAAGTGAATGGGATCTCAAACAACATATACTAACATAATACGTAAGTAGAGCATGATATTACGCTACTATCACTCATAGTGATACGGGTGATCGCTGGTGTCCTCCTGTGGATGCCCTACACATAGCACATAATTTGTAAGCACATCACCTTTCTTAGTTTCCTTTTAAATTTTCAATTATTCAATTCGTTACATTTCATGTAATTAAATACATTATAAGAACATTGAACGGACATAAGAACACATTCAGAGGGTTGAGAAGAGAGAAAGAAAATTACAGAATTTTCCAGTTTGGGCCGCACATGCGGAAGTGCCCACCCCACATGCGGACAGGTGTGCCGCACATGCCTTTTTAGCAGTATAGCTCCATCTTTCTCCCTTGTTTTCCACACGTGCGGCTGTGAGCCCCCCATGTGCGGTTGTGCCTCCCACACGTGCGGCCAAGGGCCCCGCACGTGCGGTCATATCTCTCGTTTGGCAGTCTGAAAACGTAATAAATTCAAGCCCTTTTTCAAGGCATTTTCAAGGCTTGGTTCAAACAATTACACTTCAACAATATGTTATATAATCATAATAAACATGAACCCTAAACTCAAGTGAATTATAGCTTACTTTAACTTTCATATTACTTCATCTTCTATGATTTATCAAGGGAATACAATATGAAGGATTCAAAACATGCAAAACTTGATGATTAGAAAGTGTATCCTCTCAAGCTACTAAAAACACATCCCAAATTCAAGAATTAACCTTCTATGGTCCAAATTCAAGATTAGGTATCCAATCCCATGGAATAAGTTAAGCTATGATAATAATCCATAAACCCTAGAACTTTATCCCAAGACTTGATTCCAAAGAAAAGATGGAGGATCAAGAGTAGTTTAGCTAACTCTCACATACCTTGGGAGCTAATCTTTACTTTCATCCAGCAATTGCTTCAATCTCCAAATTCTTCTCCTTGCTCCCTTACTTTTTTCTGCTTCCTCTCTCTGTTAGGTGCTCTCCAGAATTTCAACTCAATATATATAAAGAGATGAGTTCAAAAGGGACTTATATAACACATATATAGGTCTTTACCTTCTAGACTTGCCAAACGAGCCTTAGCGAATCAGACAAAATAAATTTTCATTTATACTTCCCAAGTAGCTATAAAAATTCCCACTAGTATGTTCACATACTCAATTTCAGTTTATCGCGCCTCTACGGCTTTAAATTTCCAAGTTAACATCTTAATTTTGACAGATGTGTTCCAATAA